TAGGTTGGTTTGTACATAAGTTTGTACATTATTGTATTTCTTTTAGAAAATATAAATAGAAGAAAGCGAAAATGATTCTGTTTTTGATTTATTAGATGACAATTAAATCAGAATAGATACACACATATTTATAATATATATTGACAAAGAGAGAGGGAGGCAAAAAGAGTTGTTCAACATACTTATTCCAAAATTCTAACGTACCTCCTGAGGCGGCACATCAAATGACACTGTCCTTAAGTCTACCTTTCTGTATGTATCAATACATGGTAGTACGAAAAATAAACCGGGTCCTCTTGCACCTCCTTTTCTGACTCGACCGAGACGAAAAATCACAGCGCGTTCAAACTCTTGGACGACCTGAAATGTACATACATATAATATTATTAAAGTTTTTAAATACACATGCAAGAAAACGGGTCATCGATGATATTAAGAGTCAAATATCACATTAATTGTATTCATAGAACTCGTACAAGTAGCCAACTCAACAAAACTACTGGATTAGCAGTTAAGCCAGTTGTAAATAAAATAAAAAAATGCATACATATATTAATTTACCTTAAAACATTCGAATAACGAAAACGGAAAAGTGATAATGACAAGGAGAAATGACAGAAATGTTGCAAATCTCTCCACACATCCCACAGCTTCCGGATTTGCTGAAAAATATTTATATTTTTTTAAATGATCACTCAACCCATTAATATTATAAAAGATTGTAATAAATCTCATGTCTTGTTTGATGTTCATAATAAACAATCATGATTAACATTTGAGGTAAACAATCGCGTTCTAAAAATACTTTAGATATCAATTGAAGATATGTATAACAAACTCTGTAACCTTAATTTATCGTTAATAACAATACAAAAACGCACCTAATCCACTTTCTAAGGACACAGCAGTCCTGAATTAGTACTTACACATTTGAATAGTAATAGCGCATGTCATATCCGTATCACAATCTAAAAAGTTGATACCATAAATTAATTTCTAATACATCACGTAAATTTCTGCACTAATTCATTCACTTACGACTGGGTACGTTATCGCGTCTAGTGCTCACTGTTCTCGTTTCTGTATTCATTATACAAAATTAAATTATAAATTTGTAATAAATTAATCGCTCATCGCGTTAGCATTCACTGCTTTGCGTTGACATACCGACTAACTTACTGTCAGGGGCGGACGCATGTTTACGCGACCCAAAAACCACCACGGATCAAACTAAAAATATCAATTACAATGCGTTCTGAAATAAACGTTATCTGAATGTGTTCGTTTACAATAAATTTATTTACGTATTTCTAGGTAGCACTCCACTTCGCCTGAATCCTTGTCGAGACAACCAAAATCCATGTGGCAGCTACAGCGCAATCAGAGGCGCATTGACCGATTACAATCAAAAGGTTTGGTTGTGTTATAGTCGATGTCTTTATTGGTACTAAGGTGATCGGTGGTCAGTTTGATGAAAATAAACAAATAACGCACTTTCCATATCGACGGACGGACAACCGCACACTGGACGCTGATGTTCCAAATTGTTGGCTTCACACTTGGAAACATTTCCTATCAATATACGAGGATGTTTAGATAATAACTACTAATATTAGATCGTTTGTTTAAATTGTAATTCATTATAACACAAGGTGAAGAGGTGAAAAATTAGCCTGTTTTCCTAACAATGTTTCAGGTTGAGGTTAGAGAACAACAAAACATCGACTTAACAGTTTGAAGTAATTAAAGTTTTTTTCTACTATTACGAAATGAAAGATGTAGGTAGTTTTTGGAAAAATTTTAACAAATATTTCTTGTCAAACATGTTTTACATTTACTACAAATTAATATTCTGTTTCATTGTGTTTTTAGTGATGAGAGTTCCGTTGTTTCAGAAACAGATGTTTCAACTTTGCATTATAAGACGATCGTAAATGTCAATATATGTTATAAATTTATATTTGTAACTAATGTATGATGGTGCATTTGTGATAACACTAAACGGTTGAAGTGGAACAAAACTCAAGCGCATTCAACAGTGTGTTAACCAGAATGCATTTTCGTCTGTAATGCTAAACATCTTCAAACATACTCGTATGTACATGAGTAAGTCATTGTGAATCTCCTTGCGATTTATTAAAATTTCAATATAGTCGTCTACTAACCAGTTTTCCACAAATATTTAAATTTGATCTTTACGTAGAATATAATCATTTATTAGCAGTATGCCAGTGGCCAGTATGTATGCGTCTTCCAAGTACTGCAGCTATTAACACCATTTTGTTTCTAAGATCTATAACCCCGTTCATGTGTTTGAATAACATGCAATATAATCATTGAGGTATTCATCAATATACTGTATACACTTAGTATAAAATTATTAAAATATACTTGTGTATAAACTTAGTTCTTAAACTGACCAAGTTAATCAAATGCTCAGATAATAATTGACTAAGTTTAACATATTAAAGAAATGATACTTTAGATAAGTAAACAAATTTATTTTAAAAATAAATAATTTATTTATAATGACATGGTTGATCCTCCTAAAATAAAATTCACTTTTTATATATTTTCATATAAAATTAATATGATAGTAAATATTACAATATATTCAACATATAGAACTGGAGAAAACTGAAGAATAAATTGTTACAATTTTCTTCTACTTCTGTATTTCAATATAAAATGCAGCCTATAAAAATATTTCGATAAAATCCTTTTAGCTCACACCATAACAGTTATAGTTTCTCGTAGAAAATATCTCTTAAACTTGCTAGTAATGTGACTTATCTGGTTGATATTTTGTAACTGATATATCCACGCCCGTATTTTTTGTCATAAACTCGAAATTAATTGTGATTATGTATAAGTTACTTGTTGGTAAGTTCGAAACTGGGGCAATATGAGACGGTAAATAGAGAAAGTTGAAATAACATGGACTAGTTTATAGAATTTGTTGGCTTACTTATAGAAATGGGGTATATAATAATGTGAGCTGAGTTGAGTAATGGTAGGCTGTATTAGGCAGAGCTTACATGTTAAAAAATCTTTAGCGGTTATCTGCTTTTTTATATAAATTTTTCAAATCACAGAAGAAGATTTTTAGGAAGAAATATTGTGCAGAACCAGTTTTTAAAAGTCCATATTTGACTCAATATTTGATCATTAACATTTTTGTGGGCTGTTTGTTCTGGATAAGTCAAAAAATCGTTATATTAATTATTTTTTTATTTATATTTTCCAATTTTTTTAAATTAGATTTTAAAGAACGTTATAATATTTTTGTCAAATAAAATGTAAGTTTTATTTCATCTGTAATGCAAGTTATCTAAGACGGGTACTCTTCAATATACAGGGTCACTGGTGAATTACTATCGATATTTGAGGACGTGATATTTGACGATCATATATGACAAAATAAAAATTAATATAACATAAATATTAATAAACTTCTAAGTAAAGTTAACCAAAAGTTATGTAATTAATTACGCATCGTATGAACACCCTACAGATTAGGTATACACACACACTCACACATACGCGCGCGGAGGCGTGTTGTTGTATCAGCACGCCGCCGCACGCGTCCACACTTGGAACACTTGGAACGTGTACACACTTTATTTATTTATACGGAAATTTGGTAAAAAATTAAGTACCTATTTTTTTTACATAATTCGAATGAGAATCATGTACCGAGTATGCTCCTTAAATATTGATAGTAATTCACCAGTCACCCTGTATAACAATATTAACAGCATATCAGAAAGTTTAACAAAGGATTTGTTTTCACGTAATGAAAATGGGAATTTTAAATGTTTTCTTTATTTTAGGAATTCTATTTCTACTTTTATTGTTAGTCGATTACTCCAAATAAATCTTATATAACAAAGATTAGTTTCTTTCAAATCTCTATATTAGAGAGCTACGTCTGAGCTGAATTGAGTCGATTGTTATTACAAGTGAGAACTTTAATCCCTAATAATATTGAAGATATTGTGTAATTTCTTAGGTTTACTAAATAAGTCTATTTTACTGAAAAATATTACTTTTTGTTATGTTTAAACGCTATTATAAAAATATCCTGTTATTTTATTTATGAAATTCTCAAACAATTTTGCGTAGGTCATAAGAATAATTTTTATAATTTCATTAAAATTTTGTTTGTAACCAAAATATGTATATAAAAATTGTTGCATTAGTAAATACCTAAAACAGAATTTTATTTCATATGCAATATATGTTATTATTTTATAATTCTACAAAATGAAAATAATTTTGAGCTACAGTTTCTAATGGATCGGTCTGAAGAGAGCCTAAACATTGATTTGGCTTCAAATCCAGGTTTCGTCATATATAATAACGTTAAGCTTATTTCAAAATATAGGAATGGAGGGTATTTTGTTTTATTGCTTTGTAGAATGCTTGTATGTTTTATATAATACTCGTGTTCTATAAATATGCCAGACATCCATAGCTTTCCAATTAAGTCTGTATTTTTAATCAATATCATTCGAACAAAAAGAATTGCTATTCAGCGCAAGGTGATTTTTTGTTAATTTCCTAATTTGTGCAATATATGTTATGTTGTGTTTAATATACGATTTAGAGATGTTCTTACATTAATAAAATAATTTTGTTATAATTACAATTTTCTTCAAGTATTCTTTGTGTCTATATGAATTAGTGTAAAGATAGACGTCATATTGATATTTGTGTAATTATTTTGGGTTTTTATTACGATACTTAAAAAAATATGTTTATTAATGTATAATCCAATCAGTTTATCTTTCTATATTAATAAGTTCATTTAAATCTTCTTAAAAATATCTAATTGCGAAGGTAAGATAGAATATAAAAACTATTTACATTAAGCTTTACTGATTATAATAATAAATAATGGAGTTTTTTTGTTACATATGTACCAATTCACATATATTGACACTAACGTATGCAATTAATATATTTTGTCGCAAAAATTAAATTCTATTAGTTTAGTAATGACAAAAATTCCTAATGTAATGCTTGGGAAGCAGGTGCAGGTTGAATGAGTGGAGGGGTTCTTAGTTTATAAGCGTAGGACTCGCCGTTTAGGGACAAACAAGTGTAGATCAGAAAACATACAATGTTTGTGAGTATTACACAAAATAACATAAGAATTTTCTTACATCATTAACTATTTGACGGATTTAAATTTCATAAGTCATAATATTTTCGTACGACTAAAAACAGGGAAAATTTTAATGGATATTTTAGATTAAAAGTTCAGGTTTCGTCTCATTTTATGTTATTGAGATGCATGTCAAAGTTATTAAAATTGAATGTTTTTAACAGATCCTTTTGCTTCTGTCCTGTCTGAGTGTGGTGCTGGCTGTTCCAGTAGAATTGGGAGGATATGGAGCAGTTTACTCTCACGCACCCCTCATTCATGCTCCAGTAGTCCGTGCTGAGCCAGTTGTAAGTAATGATAAATTAGTCAAAAATTTATTTAAACGTCAGTTCTAATTTGTTTGGTTTGTTGTTCAAAATATGGCCTTCATCTGTGCAAAGACGTGTACAATATATTCTGCCAGTGTCGTGTAGAACGGAAGAGACACGATCCGGAATTAACTTTTTAATGAAATAAAATTTAACGCCCACCACTAAAGTCACAATTAGGAACTTTGTTAGAAGATCTAAAACAACACAAATTCAATTAGATGCAAACATAGGAAATATATACTGTATAAAAATGTGAAACTGAGACTTATGTTATATATAAAGGTAAATCACAATTATAAGTTAATAATCCATCAAGTAATTTTTATAAATTGTCAAGTTATATTCTTTTATGCTATTAAAAATTATAGATTCAAAAATTATGAGGCGATAAATATTTGTATATAATAATAATTAATATGAAAGAAAATGATGCTTACTTCGAGTATCTATAAAATGTAAAGTAGTATACAAAGATAAGTTTATAATATCATAAAAATACCAAAACCAGAATCAATATCAGCACTATAATATGATCACATATTCTCTAGTATTTTTAATGAAATTGTTATTTATAATTTTATTTGTAGTCGTACCCAAAATATACTTTCAACTACGGAGTCAAGGACCCTCACACTGGCGACATTAAAAGTCAAGAGGAGCAAAGGGACGGTGATGTTGTTAAAGGTGAGGAGTTCAAATAAAATGGTTATTTTGTTTCAAATTTTCTAACATATCTTACTACTACCTAAATTGCTCTTGAAAATTTAAACTAACTTGACAATTAGGTTTGTATATTACTCCAGAGCATAAAATTAACTTAATACTTTTATAAATCATATTTTTCAAAAATTCAGGAAGCTACTCGTTGGTTGAAGCTGACGGCACCACTCGCACCGTTCATTACACAGCTGATGACCACACTGGTTTCAACGCCATAGTACAGAGATCAGGCCACGCTGTACATCCAGTAAGACAAACTATATTCTATTGATAATATTTTCAATACATTTTGGGGTTTTTGTAAGGTCTAATTCAGAAATACGAATAAAACATCATTGTTTTATATTTCAAAATTATTTTTACATTGATGGTTAAGAATCCGTCCATGAAAACGAAATTTTTGAATAACTCAGGTTAGTTACAATATTTAAAATACATAAAAAATATCACAAAGATATAACTCACTAACAAAATTATTAATATTTTTTTCGAAGTTTATGCGCAAATATAGAAATAGATGATGAATATATATTATTTCGTCTTGTATAGACTTCATACAAGATCACATAAGAAAGATATGTATGTAAGATTTAACCGGGGTCTATGACAATATAAAAACATCTCATAGAAATGTCAACTTGTTAATAACGTTGCACAAACAACATATCGCGCTTTTACCTGCGCCGGTCATTGCGCAAGGCTAACGGTGTGTGGGCATATAAGGAAACGAGATAACCCGTTAAACTTGACTAACAATATTTCAAATTCTTAATTAATAGATCCCATCAATTTTTTGGCCATAACATTTGTTATAAAGTCGCAATTAGTTAAAAGTTTCTGTCATCGCTGGAGATATATTCTAATATTTATATTTTAATATCTATGCGTGGGTTTTGCTAAATTGATTCCATATATAATATTATACCTAATTTATAATATTTAGTGTATTGATTAAAAAATCAGATACGTTTTAGATTTATATTTTAAATTTTTCTATTTTGATTTAGAAGAGTTAAAATTTAAGAAAAAATATTGAAACAACAGAATTTTTAAGAATATTGTTTTACGTTTAGAGGTTGTTCATTACGAATATTCTTTTAAAGTATCAATGTCAATATCGCAGTGATCTAATAACCTCCACCTTGATTTATCTTGAATGTTGAAGTAGATAGATAGATAGATTTATTTTTATAATTTTCTGCATTTGAACTCCAATACAATAGAGATTTTTAGAGCTATGTTTATCGGATACCTATATTTTCATTAGGACTTGAATAAAATTTTTATAAATTATTTTAGATTAAAAGGATAAAATAACTTTTATTGCTGTTCTCAGAAGAATTAGTTTCTTAACGAAAAAGTCCGTTAAAATTGAAAATATATTTTCCTAATATATTATATTAGAAAGTAAAAATATGCTGAAATACTTATTTGACGCAGAGAAGAACATTTTTGAGAGCCATTAGGCAAAAGAGACGAACGTACAATATGAAAATAATCAATTTTATTCATCAAAAATGAGTTGCACTTCTTTTTGCTTTCTTTATGAATTACTTAAATAAAACTTTCTCATAGATATTGTTAAGTTGTTCAATATTTTGCAGGTACGAGTACATGCTCCAGTGGCTCATTATGCTCCTGCGCCTGTGCTCATCTCCTCCTACGGACACCATTAGATTAACATACAAGGCTAAAACTCTAGATATACTCACAACATTGATTTTAGAATAGGGATTTGAAAATTGTAAGCTCGGGAGACACTTAACTTATTCTTGAAATGTCATTCATTGTGGCATATCATTTAAATGTTGAGTTACTTTCTAAAATTTTCCATTTTTCTTATGAAGTCCCACTGCAATCTTGTGTTATTTTTATTTTATAAGGTATTTGCTCACATAAATTAGTTAACATATTAAGAAACTTCCTATAATCGTAGCATCTGAAGTACAAGTAAGTTTTAATGTTATTTAAAAATTATTACATGAAACATGTTTTTGTTTTCTTAAAATATATTAAAAACACAATAAAACTTTGTATATTTAATCTAGTTTAATGTTTTATTTTTCAAAATAGTCGATTTTACAGTTAAAATAAATCTGTATATATAATTGAGATATTTAGATATGAATCGATTTCCAAAACCTTTTCCCGTGTAACTAATGTTTCAAATGATTCTAAATAAGTTCCACTTTAACTTTGATATTCTCTCAATACTAGTGTATAATTACTTCATGTAACTTTTTAACTTTAAGAAACATTTTGTCTGTAATATAGTCCGTTTAAAAGAAATAGTTGAGATTGCTTTGTAGGAAAAAAGGCTGGGTTATATCTAATATCAAGTTCAAATTACGTAGCATAATTTAATAGTAAGATCATTACAATTTTTGTAAGGGGTTAAAACTAACACTCACTAAAAGTAGTAGGTATATTCTGTTCTTACTTTTTATTAAGTTCATGAGGTATACCTTTTGTTAGTAGCTAAAAAAATCTTCATTTAGTATAATTTTTTTGAAAAAATTTCGATTCATTCCATTTATTTTCATGGTTAGAACTCATAATATTTTTTGAAAATGTAATATTTTATACATGGATTACAATATTTTACGACTTCGATAGTAGGAGCCCGGTCGTAAAGTAGCGTTTTTTTATTGCTTCGTACCATTTTAGGACTTTATCTCTTAATATTGTCATGTGGATAAGAAAACACGATACAAGTATGATAACAATCAATGATTTATTAATTAAATTAAACTTTAACTTTTCCAATCTCTTCTAATGTTGAAAATATGGAATTAAGGAATGATAATTTATCATTCATATTATATGTCATATATTTATCATATATTATGTAAGTAAACGAATACGCGTTAAAAGTACTACAGTCAATGTTTTAACATTTGGGTTATGACATCATAGTATGCATTTTGACTCATTTAATGCATTTCATAACAGCCCTTGACATCCCATTTGCTTGTATTTTCCATTTTGTAATTTAAAACATATACATATATGTATATATCACGAAGAAAGGGGAGAGGTGGGGTTAGCGAGCAATAGTAATTTCAATGTATACTTAGAACATTATATATAAATTAAACGAAATATAGCTAATGTTATATGCAGTCTTCAGTAAATAAATAAAACCATAGAATCCGATTTATTCTGTTCATGATTGCGTCGTAGGCGTTGTTTGTCGACAATATCAAAGCCACTATAGTAGTCACTTATAATAAAAATGTTCATTTAAATGGGCTTTTAGTGTCTAATTCATGTATGGAGACTGACGAAATTACTTTTTACTATCTTTGACTGAATTTACGAGCTGTAAAAGTTTTAAAATGGTAATGAGAAAGGTAATAAGACTATTTTATGTCATTTAAAATAAAATACGCTTAATATGTTACAGAATTAAGTTAATACTCATGTTATGAATACAAATTACTAAAGAATGCCGGCATCTTATGACTGTATGGGTGTTGTTATCCTTTAAAGAAAAATTACTGTAATTTATATGCATTTAAGTTAGATTTAAATTAAAAAAATCATACCATTTGGCTCATTAGATACTCGAATATTAATATTTGGTTTGTAAGGTAATGCATTGCTAATTTTTAATCTTAAATAATATCTAATATATTTAATACTAAAAAGTTTGTATGTATGTAAATGCCAATATAATAACTGTAAGCGTTTTACAAGATCAATTTGGCATGAATCATCAATCAGATTCACACAATTAATAATATTTGACGATCAAAAACGTTAGAATTCACAGTTCCTAATGAAGAAGTTTTCTTGCAGCCGCTAATGGCCTTAGAGAGTTCAACACCACATAATATTCCTTATCCTATGCTAACATGACATCAGTGCGGGCGGATATGGACGAAATCGCCTTAACCCAGAAAATCGGCTCTTGTTTTTGCCGACTAAATCACCTAAAAGGAGTCACACGTTAAAAGCGTACGCATGTTTGTGTCGTCTGTCTGAGGGCATACATGACTTCCTATTAGTGCATTAATGTGTTCTCACGAGATGGATTTTTTTATAAAGGTAAGTTCTATGCAACCATTTATATATTGTTCAATCGAAATTAGATATTTTTAAAGAGGGATAAAAATTAAATAGTTTTAATTAAATAATATTATAGGTATTATCCTCTCTCAAAAAGTAATAAATACAAAAGCTAAGTTTTACATTTCTCTTGTGATAAACAATATTTAATTTGTAACTACAAAATATTTGTTGGAAGCATTAATACGGACAAACGTAATTCGTATATAGAATTACTTGCGGTGCATCATCATTGCCTTATACTTTTCCGAGGCACTTGCAATTTAATATCTATCAAAAAATTTATATTTATATTGGTAAACGTAAAAAAAGGGTTAAGTAAATTTATGTATAATAAATTATGCAATTAAACTAACCAATAATATTAATTGACATTCATTTTAGGGATTCATGATAAAATAAATTAGAGATATAACACTGAAAGTATACGATCATACGTCATAGTTTTTAGATCTTGTTCCCATAGATCAGTTTATTTTGTTGGTAATTTAACTTTTTCTGATTATATTTAATTTTAATTTGTACCTACATAGATCAATTCAAACTATTTGTGTTTTTAATTTTAATTTTATTAAGTACATGTTTATTTTTATGGTCTTTAATTTTTATCAATTTTAACTTATAATTTGTTTAATCTTTCTGCTCATGTTTCTATAATTATGTGTTAAGTAATGTATTTTTAAAACAAATATTGTAATTGTTGTGGCTACTTTAAAAAGCTTCACTTAATTGTTTTACATTTGTCATTAAAATATGTAGTAGCTACTAGTAGTCGTTAAATAAATAAATATTTATTCACTTCGGATTTTTGGTCAATTTTGGTAAAATATCTTGCAGTGCTTAAGAAATTGTCTTTGGAGCATTAAATAAGTAGAATTAAATTAATACTGCAATATTGAATTTGAAAATATGTCATACCCTTCTGGGTACTTAGTGGTACTCCATTACAACTACCAGATAAATCTAGCGAATTACATTTTAACAAAATCCATGGAACTTTTTACACTTTGCGGCGTATATTATTTATATTCTCATTATTAAAGACGAAACTATGTAAAACTATTTTTTTTATTAAATATTATGAAAATGTATTTAATAAATCAAAGATTTAAGTCATAGCTGAGTCAAAGAAAAGTATCTATTAGGTTATATGAGAATCTTATACTTGCAAAAATATAGAATAAGATGATACATTCAAGTCATAAATAACTGAAGGCGTATCACACAATATGTAGAGGGATATTAATGAATAACATTAGTCAGTGACGTTGATATTGACCGGTGTTCATGTTGATACATCTCATGTAATGGGTTTCGCGATTAGTGGTAAGGATGATAAACACTATATAGTAGACGCTATAGCAATTAGAAAGTACTAATTACTTACTGCAGCTTTACTCGTTGTCGAAGATTATTCGTATGTTAGCTATACCTTAAGTACAAATAGCCTCATAGGTTAAATTAAATTCATAGTAATTAATCAAATGAAAAAAGTTGATCAATTGTCAACGCTAATATTATTTGAATAATTGTTTCTCGCGTAATATTAAAATATCTTAATGGATTTGTATTTATAATGGTAGTAAGGTAAAATATCAGTTAGGTAACAAATTTTTATACACATACGAACTAATTCTTCACGTAAAAAATTGATTATAGTACATATTATTACAAATAATAAATCCAACCAAGCAAGAAACTATTTGCAAAACTATTAACAACATTGTACAACATATATTTTTTAATATTAACACATTATTATAAATTATATTAATATTTGGCATTTGCTTCAAACAGATAATTCATGTATTGGGTGCAAGTGAAATTTTTATGAAATATAATCTTATTATTTACAAAATGTGTAACTTAATAAAATGTATTTCTTTTATTAAATCCATAAAAAGAGTTTCCAGTATTTACCTTTGATTATTAGTTACACTTTGAACATATTCATATATCAATATTATGCACAAAAGGCCACCTTTATGCCAGCTTACCTCGAGAAAAGTAGAGAAAAGAGAGAATAGGGACGTGCAAATATAAAATACAATGAAATATAACTAGTAATATCAAAAAAACATTATTAAGATACAAAGTTTTGACTTAATTTAATTTGTTTATCTATTATTATAGGTCGTTTTGTTTGCAACTTTGTTATGGAGTCCAGTAGTTCCAGCTCCTCGGCAGAAGAGGCTTAGTTTAGCAGCTCATTCTCCTAGTTACTATTATACAGATGTTGAAGGTATGTATAAAAAATAACATGCAAGTTAGACACGAAACCTCATAACATTCAATGGATTCGCCGTGCGGGTGCCAGGTCCATCGCGTTGCAGGGAGAGGAGTTTCAACAGTGCCTGGGACATGGGATCCAGGTGTAGGTTTAAGGGGCCTTGATATTTATCAAGAATAGAACAACGTATAATGAAGCTTGCGATATGAACAAAAACTGTTTAGATACTTTATCGAAGAAATTGATTTGATTTTTTATATTTCATTTGCAATAGGAAGTTCTTTCAAACTGTTTCTATTAGGTATAGTAATAGGTTATTTTAATAGTGTTTATTTGTATATGTCCTGATCATCTTGAAGAGCCGTCCACATTTGTTTAGAGTTATATTATATTTATTTTTAAGCATAACGACTTCTTTTAATTCGTAAACAAATATAATGTATACGTATATTGGGAGTACATTGGCTAGTAGTCGCTAGCTAGAGATCATGCGTTTAATTGCTATTGCATGACATTATCTGTATACATTGTTTTGGCCATTATAAATTTATCTTTTAATTGTTAAATATTGAGGAATTAACATAATTATTATTCTTTATAGGTCAACCAGGAACCTACTCTTTTGGTTATGACGTAGTAGATCCAGAGACTGGTAACACTCAATTTCGTTCAGAGGAGAGGTATCCAAATGGAACAGTCGTAGGTAGCTACGGATATGTTGATCCCAAAGGAAGATCACGTCGTTTTAATTATATAGCTGATGAATATGGATACAGGTAAATACTGTACTGTTATATTTATGTTATAACTAAAAGGATGTTCAGAGCTAGTTCTTGGCTCATTCAAATGAAGGCTTACATACATGTAAATATGTCTTTCATTACATTTTTAGATTAATGAATGACGTGCCAGTAAAGCAGAACTATCAAATCACTACTGAAAATATTAATACATCAACGGAAGCATCCATCACTTGGAGCCGACCCAGGAAACCAAATAAAAAGAAACAACAGTCTAAGATTGAAAAGTCAAAGTCGGAAAAACCTTCCACTATCCTGCAACCGCCTCTTTTCTATATGATTTAACTAAATAACATAAATATTATGAAATTAATTTAATATTTATTATAATCTTTATTTAAATAATAATAATTTTAAAAAATATACTTTTTGTATCTGTAGTAGCAGCAGTGAATTAAAAAGGTTTTTTTTGCTTTGCAGTAACGAAGAAAAAGAAAGTAAAAAATATTTGACTAGTGTCACGAGTGCGTTGTGTGATAGTCTTGATAAAGCTATTTATTTTGTGTTTGTATAGAATGTTAAACAGTCTCAATAAATTAATAATGTATACTTTTTTAGTGATTTTACTTGCCTACTTAATGTCCTGCTACACAGCTTTGGGTATGACTTATTTATTGTGGGATTCAATGAATATATCGTAGAATTAAATAATGTAGCGTCATTTTATATTATTCATTTAGTATACAAATCCTTAGAATCGAGGATATACAAACAAAAAAATGTTCTTTTTAAACACAAAGTTACAACCGTTTTGTAATGATTATAGTCATGAAATTAACTTCAAAGAAATTATTTAATAAATAGTTATCGAACAACTGATACATATTTTTTGTACTTCCATAATCATAATTATAGGTTATCCAATGAAAGGACAAGAAGAGAAAACGCATGTACAGAAGAACGAGAAGAAATTTCCTAACGGTACTATAGTGGGAAAATACTCTTATAGAGATAAAGATGGTAATCCAATACATGTCAGATATTACGCTGATGGTTCAAGTTATGGGTGAGATAAAGACTCATTATAATAGTATTTTTATAGCATTCATTGTGAGAGGTTTTGATTATCATATAAATTATATAAATTTCAATGAATAGTTCAAATTATGTCTTATTTACAGTTATTTATAGTTAAGGAATGAACACAAAGATGGTTCTTACATTAAAATAACTTTTATCCTTTTAATATGTCTACAAATTGTAAATAAAATTATTATTTTAAAGTAGTTTCTTCCCTTATATTTTCACTTTTTATCAAATAAGGTTTTATTGAGGGTATATATATACCTATACCAATATTACTTTCATGTACCAAGACCTGGAGGTGTTAAAATTTTATTAAATTTTCTATTCTAGTGTCGAACTGAAGAGTGTTAAAGTTTTTGGATCAAAGCCAGATAATTCAAAGGAGGCGATTAATTTGGCGATGACACCAGAACCATATGAGGAGGCCATAAACGAGGCAAATTCGTTTATTAGTAACAGTTTTGTAAAAAATAAATCCTTTACACCATTTCAAGTTATTAACGAAGTACCCGAAGAAACTTCCAAATCTAAAAAGCAGAATGCTGATTACGAGATATTTTTGGAGAATGACATTAGGCCTTCACAAGATTGCAAGAAGGAAAAAGTCCGAGTGTACACAGATAAGTCCAAGAGGAAAGTGAGGAAGGCAGACGATGAAAATAACTTTTTCTGTGAAAGATTTTAATAATATGTCTCTTATTATATTTTTTATTAGTTTCACTTAAAACTATTTTTATTTTTATAACTATAAGATGTCTGAAATAAAATAAAAGGATATGTTACTTGTAATTATTATTTTTTGTATTTAATAATTTTTTATGAATTATGGTTTTTGAAGGAAAATGTAAAATGTAGGAAAATGAAATCTTAATTTATTTTTCTTTAATGAAAATTTATTTCCCAATTTAGATTTAATCTGCTTATTATATTTATTAAATGGAACAGAATATTTTATATCGTAGTTGTGGTTTCGCGATTGTGTATACAATTTATTATATAAGAGCTAGTTATATTAAATCACAATAGATCTGAAGAATCTCAATTGAGAAATTACGCATGAGCGACGCGCGATAAGTGGTCTAGTGCGTGCATTGTATCGGAAGCGACTGATAAATAATTTGTTAGGTTGAAAGTAAGTGCTGCGACGATATTAATTAGAATATTAAAAATACATATTTATATGATACTCAAAATATTTATTAATATTATTTGGTACGTCAAGTAATGAAAATGGTACATGTTTTTTGAAAGGTTAATCATTACTTATAACCGAAATACTAATAAAAATGCAAAATTAATGTCTGGAAATTTATTTTAGAATTTAAATAATTTACGATTATCTTTATAGATAGGATAATACTCGATAAACCAAAAAATAAATGTTTTTTTTATTATATTTAAATATATTAAGCGAGAAAGTAAGTCTTGCTTCGAATTCGTATCAACAAACGACTGATCTATTTCATGCTTGTATGTATTTATAGCGAAAGTGCATTTTAATCTTTATTATAGGATTTGAATTTGAATTTTAAATTGTCACGTAACTAGACAACTTTTTGCATTGCATTCGCCAATATTGTTATAATAAAATATAAAAAGCCGATAAAAATTGTTTTAAAACTGTCATTTGGATGATACAGATAATAAAAATAAGTTATTAAAATGAAAACAAGAAATATTTCTCATATAACAGTTTGTTCTTTATAACAAATAAAAGACAGTTGTAAAACACACAGACACAGTCTTCATTTGGCTTACCTTTTATTAACGTTTTACACAAATATATCAACACGAATTGCAAGTAACGATGATTTCCGTACAGTTATTTTGTTTTCATAGTGTAAGTGGTAACAAAGCTTGAAGAGAATTCATTCCTAGATAGGTTTAAAGAAAAAAATATCAATAATAATTTAAAAGAATATTTTCCATTGTAATGTATTTGTAATTTTATTTTTCGTCTTAAGTTTATACATACATGTTTTTCTGATAGCATTTATTTTTACTTCCTATTTAAATGAACGAATTTAAATAGGAATCGCCAGCATCGCCTAATTTGAGACCATTCAGTGGATTGCTAGCATTATTCAGAAATCCTATTACATTATGACACTAATATGCGAGGAGAGTTTACGTAAGAATGTGCTGACCGCTTTCCACGTTTCAACTCAATTATATGACAATGGTGGAATATTTTAAATAATAAGTAATAATGTACTTTTAGTTATTTTAATATCTGCCATACTATCAAACACGGAAATATTGCTGTATATCTTGATAGCAAGTCATACTTGTTATATTTTATATCGGAAATACCAAGGAATACATTATTTGATTATTCCATAAGAGTGTCACAGTTCGATTCAAAGGCTTCTTGTATCATTGTATTTACCAAACTCGGAAGGAAGCGATTTTTTAACAAATTAGAATTGATTATCTAACTGCCTATAACACTTAACGCACAACCTAGATGACATGCTTTTTATAGTTATTTCTATCAATCATACAAGAAACATAGTCTTTGATAACATTGGATTACGTTTTCTAACATGAAGATTCTCCGCAGAATAAATTCTAACTGCATTATACTTTATAATAACGGTGACATAATTAAATACTTCCTTACGACTATAATAAGTTATTTATTGGTTATTGGTTAATATTTCAAAATAGGTTATAATAGTTACGATGTTTGATTCGTTTTATCCGAACAAAAAAATTACTTTAAAAAATATATATAATTACTTGAAAAACAACACGAGTCGAATTGAACTGTCAAATTTCGTTTAAAATACATATATTTCAATAGTAACTATTATTTAAAAAATGTACATACATTTGATAACAAACAATAAGTGTATGAAATATTTTTTTCTGTACCCACCACTCTCCACTATCATACATATATATTGATGTTCCGTTTTCTCTACCACACACGTTATCATCTCTCCGACTGGATCAGATTTTATTTTGTAAATTATTTTGTGTTTGTGTGAAGATGTCTTTAAAGGTGAGAAAATTTACTTAAATTAATTAAATAGACTGAAACATAATATTTCTTCAGACAGTATAATTGAGTTTTATAATTCAAAAAACATCAGGTTTTTTTTTGATTTGGTAATAGTATCAAACCGTCTTTTGTATGGAAATAAATTGATGGATTTTTTTATTATCAATTAAAACCAAATAAAACTATAATAAAAACATATCCCTAATATACCTTTTTAATAACAGCAAGAATTTTAATTTAATAAAAAAAATCTTTGATCGAATTGTCATTTGACAACTGACATTGTGAAAGAATGAGGCAGGAGGTCAAGTTTTTATATCCCATAATTCCACAATGAATAAGGTCTATCATAAAATAAAATCTACTTGTTCATTTTATTAAAATCAAAATAATGTTATATGTTTGTGTTGATAATTTTCCCATATCCCTGCTTTTGTAGTTAAATATTCTCTGTTTTTTGTTAAGTGTTTTAAAATATACGGAGATAATTGTATATTAAGCAATATTTTATCGCTTTGTAGGTATAAATTTGTACGTTAGGTGTTTTAATTTATCGAATTTCTATTACATAATAATAGATTTCTGTTATATGGGTTTTATAAAATTTATTTCCTTAATTTTACTGTGCCATCATTGTAGACAAATAAAAATATGTATGTTGTTGTTTGTGACAAAAACTGTTATATAATAATTAACATTAACAATTAGTAGAAGCAAAAGAACAAACAAAAAATACAAACATAACTATTACGAGAGCGATTGAAAGTTTGTGAGAAATATTTATAACAACAGCTTTTGTTTCAAAGAAATCATTTAGTCATTCATTGATAATTGTTTGATTGTGATATAAGATCTAATGATCTAAAGTCAATGAAAAAGACGTTTTCTTTTATTATTAGCAAATTTATCTTACCTTATACTTGTTATGTGGTTCAAAAATAGATGGTTACTTACTAATTGGGTAATATTATTTATTTATTTTAACACATGTTTTTTATTTATCTTCTATATAATATTATGCAGATATGTATAATTATATTAATATTGTAAGATAATCAGGATATACATATATATGTACGCATTTATCTGTTTTTGATGAATATATGGATATGTGATAATTTGTTGCTCTTTCACGCAATAACTAAAAAGCATATTTAGTTTAAAATTTACAGCTTGACATCGAAATAAGACAAAGGCTATAAAATAAGTATCCCGTTGTATCCCAGATAATAGTTATGTTGTTTATGAAGTCATTAGACGAAAGCTATGTCCATGTCGCTTGGTTACCACATCTATCGTTTAAAAATACTTACATTTCTTTAATTTAAAAAATTATGAGGACAAGGTCGCCCCCAATAACTTATCAAGAATAAATAAAACGTATATGCAGTTGCACTAAGCCTTAATGATCTTTTTTTTATTTATATGGGATTGAGTAAATTATATTAGACATGCCAGTACTTCTCTGTAATAGTACTATTGAAGTTCTCTTTAAACTCTATGGTTAGAATGTAGTGATAATGGATTGCGGGATAGTTTATTTATGGATTTTATGTATTATTATATTGTTTTAACCTGGACTTATAATTTTTAATTATGAGTTTGAAATCGCCAACCCGTCTTGAGTAGGTAAGCGTGGTGATTGATGCTCAAATCTTCTCCGTGTGAGAAGAGGCCTTTGCTTAGCAGTGGGCTCAGATAGGCTGATGATGATGATAATGATGATATCATGTTATAGGGCTTACTCATAGCATCAGCGCTTATAGCCTGCGCAAATGCCCGGGTATTCACATATGTAAGACCAGCAGAACCGCATACAGCGGCTAGTTTTGTAAACGCAGAACCAAAAATTGAATATGCACTCCAACACATACCAGAAGAAGAGCATGTTGATTATTATGTAAGTACCAAGTATTGCGATGTATTGACTCATAAACGAATATTGTGTAATCTTATGATATCCAATGACTATGACAATTTTCTTATCGTCATGGTTTTCTATTAAATCATAATATTTAATTTTTAAGGTATTTAATTGAAAAAAATATATGTTACTAACCAATACATAAAGTTCGAAACTAACCACAAAAAACAATGAAATACTTCGTTTTCTTTATTCTCTTCATTATTGTATCTACTTTCGCAAGCGTCGCGGCTATTACTTACAAAAAAATCTGTAGATAAAATGTAAGGTTATTGCACGGTACATTCACAATGTACAGGAAACTAGTCATAGGTTTTGTTTTCCGTTCAATTCTTTCTATTAGTTGCGCCAGTGACGATCATTTGTTTATTGGGAAGCAATTATAACTGGAGGGCTTTCTATTTACTTGTATATTTTAAAAATGTATGCAGTTTATTTATTATAAATTCTTTTCTTTTATAAAAGTGTATTTATATTTTATAATATATATTTTTGATTATTGTTCATGTTGAGATTTTGTGTAAAGTTTTCAATTAATTATTTGGTACTCAACTCATTTTGATGATTAGTATTCTTATGTAAATATTGTAAATTTCTGTCATGATTTTTAAAGATAAACATTATTATTTATAATACATACTAGCTTTCCGCCCGCAGCTTCGCCGCGTGGAGTTCGGTTATATCGCGTTTCCAAGAGAACCTTTCAAAAGCCTGGGATAAAAACTATCCTATGTTCTTTCTCAAGGTCAACTCTATCTCTGTACCGAATTTCATTAAAATCAGTTCAGTGGTTTAGGCGTGAAAGCGTAGCAGACAGACAGACAGACAGACAGACAGAGTTACTTTCGCATTTATAATATTAGTAGGGATGTAGTCAAATTTGGTAATCGACCGTCTTATAAATCGGAACAATATAATTATTTAAGAAAATAATTAATTGATATAAGCACGAACTTGGTGTAGAAAGTATCTTAGATAAATTTGTACGAGGGCTGCTATATATATTTCTGGCCTAATAATGAAAATACGAATATTTATCAACGAAAATGGTTTTATTGTTTTTCAAAATATTCTCCATCAAGATTTATACACTTTTGCATGCGCTCGAACCAATTTTCGAAGCACTTTTTCCACTCCGATTGAGACACCTCCAAAACATGGTTTTTGAATGCTTCAACAGCATCTTCTGGCGACGAAAATCGTTGTCCACGCATTTTTTTCTTGATGTGTGGGAATAAAAAGAAGTCATTGGGTGCCAAGTCAGGGCTGTACGGCGGATGACCCATCACTTCGACGTTTTGGCCGGTCAAAAAGGCGCTGGTTTGAGCCGATGTGTGAGAGCTCGCATTGTCATGGTGCACAATGATTCGTCTTCTCTTGTTCATTTTTCGAATTTCTCCGAAGACTTCAGGCAAACAAATGGTGGTATACCACTCAGAATTGACCGTCCTACGTTGCTCAAGCGGAACAGTCGCCACATGACCAGTTTTGCCGAAGAAACAGGCGACCATTTGCTTCGAAGTGCTTCTTCCACGAACAACTTTCGTTGGATTTGGCTCGTCTTGGAAGACCCACACGGTCGATTGCTGTTTTGTTTCGGGCTCATACGCATAGATCCATGATTCGTCACCTGTGACGATCTTATAAACGTCTTTTGAAGCACCGCGATCATATTTTTTCAGCATTTCTTTACACCAATCCACACGAGCTTTCTTTTGAGCGATTGTCAAATTGTGCGGGATCCAACGAGAACAAACCTTTTTTACGGCCAGGTGTTCATGCAATATCGAATGTATGCTGGTGGGAGAAATGCCTAGGCATGCCTCTATCTCACGGTAAGTCACATGACGGTCTTGCATTATCAGTTCACGTACGGCATCGATGTTTTCTGGCACAACGGCTGTTTTTGGACGACCTTCACGGAATTCGTCTTTGAGCGAGCGTCGGCCACGATTGAATTCGTTGTACCAGTTTTTCACAGTGCTATAGGATGGTGCTTCGTCGCCATACAAAGATTTAAGTTCATCGATGCACTCTTGTCGTGATAATCCACGTCGAAAGTTGTGAAAAATGATCGCACGAAAATGTTCACGAGTTAATTCCATTTTTTTGCCAAATTGATTTCTTCAAGTACTTGTAAAAGAAAAAAAAAATTGTCGTAAGTCAAAAAGTTCTGAGTACATTTATGCTAAAAAATGTCAAACTTTCCAATGGAAATGCCAGATTGCACCTGGCAACACTTAGTGTTGCCTAGGCCAGAAATATATATAGCAGCCCTCGTATGTTGTGGTAATTTAATGTTTTCTTTTGGTTTTAGGCGTATCCTAAATACGTATTTAAGTACGGAGTGAATGACTTTCACACTGGAGACATAAAGACTCATCACGAGAGCAGAGATGGTGATGTCGTCAAAGGTTGGTTGTAACATATTAAATAAAATAAAATACTATTTTAGTTTAAGGTTTGTACTGTGTATATTTTCTTTCAGTATTTTTTGTTAAGTCAAAACTGTTTTAATCCTTTTGCATTTCTTCTTAAATATATGAATTTTAAATAATTTTAAGTAATTTGTTATTTAAAACATTCAAATTAACAATATGTTTCAATGAACAAAATTATTTTGTGTAAATGTTCATTAGATGATATAGATACGAAATTAATTACTATTTTAGTTTAAGGTGTGTATATTTTTTTTTTTGTATTTTTCATTCAGTCAAATTTGTTTGTATTCTTTTGCGTTTGTTCGGGAGTATATGAAATTTAATTATTTTTTATTTATCAGGAAACTTTCAAATTAACAGTATATTTCAATGAAAGATTTGTTTGTGTAAAATTTTGTTGTATACTCGTACATTTCCTAAAAGCGATTAACTGGAATTTATATTACTGATGTGTTGATGATTAATTTTGTTTATTTACATCTATTTTCGATACCAGGTCAGTACACGGTTGTAGAACCCGATGGTTCTATCAGGACAGTCGATTACACGGCTGATAACCACAACGGGTTCAACGCTGTGGTACACAAGACAGCGCCCATTTCCGCCCACGACGCCCACCTTTAACATTTAAAACCAATTTTAATAAGACAAAGCGTTGTTAATTTAACATTGTCTTACATGCTTAGTGTTAATGTATTAGTAAGTATTTTAAAACGATTTATTTCTATAGATCTAATTTTTTTAAAAACATTTGATGTTTTATTTATTACGCACAATGTACCTGATTATTGTTTGTCTTTGTTTATTTTTATTGTGAATAAATAAATAAATATTAACCCTTTTATTTTATTCCCACTAAAAGTTTAAAGTCTTTTTATGTAACATTGTAAATGCCATCTTCAATTAAGTAGAGGTATGATTGAAGTTTGATCCCTGTTAGGTATTAAATAAGTTCCACGACCGTTTCCTAGATGGAGCTTGTAATACAAAATATCGAGTCATTGAAAATTAAGTTTGAAAATAAATGGACTATATTGTATGTAAAAGTATTAATATAAAATAATATTTTCTCTCTTTTAATAAACAAAAAACCTTATAAGGATTATCCTATATGTTACACCATTCTATTTGAAAATTAGGATAAATAAGAGAGATTGGTTGATTGGACCTAATGGAATACCATTAATATAATTTATCTGCTAATAATACAAAATTTTAAATATAAACAAAATTACAAACCAAACCATAGCATAACCACACATTTATATTTTTTATTTGAAATAAAATGTTAAATATAATTTACATATTATAGTATAAATAACGAGGAATATTTTTACATTTTATTAAATCGTTTCGAAATTATAAGTAACATGTTTCTAAATAAATTTACTTAATATATTTTTCTAATTTACAATAGATAATAACACTATAGGCGTGAATTAATGAGCGATTTCTTGTGAATAAAAACTTTTAAATCAATAAAATGTATATCAAAATCAGGGTCATAATTAATTTCGACCAAAAATTAGTATTTAATAATATTCTGTATTGAATATGTTTTACATTATTGAAATTGATACATATTTATTTTATCGGAATATTTTTTGGTGATTATCAGAACATCAATAACTAAATCAAAAATCATTTATAAATGTCATAGGTTTCATTGTTGGATTTGATTTGCAACTCTATAATAACTACTTTAAAAAGATGTGGATGATATGAATGAAAATATTTTTAAATATGATATCTGTATTATTACAATACCTGTTACGAAAACTCTTAATTTCCTTATTGTAAACCACAACCACAACCACATAAATATTTAAGACTTACAAGTAATACGACCAGTGAAAAGTGCAGAAAACTGTTCTTAAGATTTGATATACGTATATGGGATGGTAACATTAAATTAATGATATCTTTACAAAGTTAACAGGTTCAGTGTTGAATGTTAAAATCAGAAGATTTTAGGAATTGAGTAAAATTGATTTGTAGCGAATTTAATTTCCTACCATAAGAAAAATTACGAAATTTCCATCGAAAGGCAATTCGTGCATATTTCTTTTACAAGAAGGTATCACGAGATAGTTTCACACGTAAATTAGAGCTCTGGGTAGTATTTACTCTGATGAAACTAAGACTCCAATTACCACAATCCAAATGTTCCTATCGTCCTAAGTCCTTAATATTGCCCACAAATAAAATATCTATTTCTTATAAATAATAAATATGTATAAATAAAATATAATTAATAATATGTGACACATATAAGTCCTTCTAAAATACTTATTTTTAAATTATTTGTTATTTAAACAAAAACCTAATTATAATAGTGGATAACTAAGCCGAATTCAAAATTAATCTGAAATTTATGTATTAAAAAATACTTTATAGTTAGAAAATAACAATACTTTTATAATCCTCGTATGATATTAGTGTTGTGTTGCAATCTTATTTACATGTAGCGTCATTGTACCGTGCGAAACTTTTCTCAATTAGCCGCAGTGCACCCTAGGAAACATTGCTTTGGCGGCCCCGCATCAAGGCTGGCTAAAACTAAGGCCGTTATAAAAGCCTGTGAACCCTCCTTTGTTTTATTCTAGGAAGAAATTTACTGTGTAACAGACGTATCTTACAATCAACATGTATATAAATTGTTTGATGTTCATATATATTTGTGTAGTATCAGTGATGGGATACGTGCAAGCTAGACCGAAGATTGATGCTGTATTCAGTCCAGTTTTTGAACCGGGCTATGAATATTATGAGGTAAGTTTTATACTTAAGTACCACTAATTATATTGACAGCGATCAATAACGATAAAAAGTTTTATAGTAAGTTAAACAATAAAATAATTTATACAGGGACGGCCCAAATATGCATTCAATTATGGCGTGGCGGATCATACAACGGGGGATATCAAGTCACAACATGAATCAAGGGACGGTGAAGTGGTCAAAGGTAAGCCTGTTACCGTTACATCACTTAAGATTTGTTATATTTTCAAATATTTTAATTAGCTTCGTGAAAATAATACCTAAATTTGCACCTTAGTTGTTGCTTTATTTAGCATATTATAAGGTCGTAAGACTTTATCAAATAAAAAGCTTCTGTATTTTAGCAACATTCATCAATATTTTTTGTTTATGGATAATTATTACAAAATATTGCCTACGAGGAGTAACGATAATCCGTGCTCACAAATTTTTCATTGAGACCGAGTCATAAGGCTAAAATGATATGAACCTCTTAATAGGTAACTGTTGACCTATATAATAAATATATATAAATAATAAGTTCCTTATTTTTTCTCTTATTATAATTGCGTTAGTCTTGATACTATGTTTCTAAGAATTTGGTGGGAGATTTAGTGAAATATTTGACGACTAAATGATTAATTAATTATTGACCAAATTACTAAAAACATTTCAAGCAGCAAACTTCAGATGAGGTGCTAATAGGTAATCTGTTAGAAAATATAAAAAAATTATTTTAGGTTGAATTCAGTAAAAAAGTAATTACTATCAGTTCATATTAATTATCTCAATTATACAGTAAACTACTGTAGATATTTAAATGAGTTTACCTTTACTAATTCGTATCTCAAAAACGAAGTAAGCGTAAGTAGTAACTATTAAGAGTATAAAAATTAGTTATATCAGTATCATTGAAGAAATTCTAATTGGATAGGTTTTAAGAGGCAGAAAACAATATTTTCCATGTTATATCTACCACTCATTCTTCAACGGGATTATTTAACACCATGTTACATAACAAACGAATTGTGGTTAACTCTGAAATTACATATTTATAAACAACGCAGCATTGTTTCTAAAACTATGCCGCTGTTAGCATTTCTTTAGCAGAAACATCCAATTAATTAAGAAAATAAAAATTTACCTTGCATTCTAGTTTAGATTTATATCATTATATAAATATATTATCAACCCAAATAATGATTAAGGTTTAGAGTTAAAGAATATTTCGATTTTGTTGGTGTAAAAAATTTAAAGTTTGGAAACTATAATACATATTTTATGATACTATATACAAAAGTTATCGATTACATATACTTTCTTATTAAAATATTTTATGTTCCTATATAATCATTAAGTATCTTTATTTTACCTGGTTACCACCTTATTCGATGATGAAGCTTGGTGATCTACAATAATATCTGATGCCATTTCGACGTACTGTTCTGAATATTCGTTTGTCATCAATTATCATATAAACACAAATAACACGTAACTGTATCATCACTTGAGCCGTTTCAAAAGCTATCATTTCCTTTAAATGTGTTAAATTGTTTTTCTTTTACTTCTATTTATTGTTTTTCTTTTACTTCTACTCATTTTTAAACCAGTGAAGCAAATAAACTTTTTTAATGAGAACAAATTCGATTCAAATATTATTATAATACTGTGGTAAATAATGAAAAGAATTTAATACGTCTGCTGAATAATAAAAGTGACAACCTTTTACGATAGCAATGGTGTTAGAAATAAAGTATTGAATTTTATTTAGAATTTTTGAAGATTATTTTATATCTTTTGCAGGTATTTAAACCTGTTATATCTTTTGCAAGTTGGTTTCGAATTATATTCTTAACTATTTATTTATTTCTGTGATTAAATCCTACTTATAAAATAAAATGCCAACGTTTATTATTCTTCCTTGTAAATATTACAAAACGGAGATTGATTACTAAAAGTAATGTATTTGTATATGAGACTTAGACTGGAAGTTATTTTATTCTTCGGTGTAGTTTCAGCGAGAACAGAAGTAAAAAGTTTTAATGAATCATATAATATGTATATAATAACCTGCCATAACCTGTTAATACAGCTTGCGTATCATGTCCATCCAGAACTTTTCACTTGCTTTGGTTTATGCGTATTTAAAGTCAACTTAAAATCTCAGAATTATTTGATAATCTAATTTCCAAAAAGTTATCTACTCAACTTCACCTAACCGTTCTCTAATTTGTACAACTAGCGTCGGATTTTTTGTCTGACTAAGACCCCTATTTACATAAATTGTTGAAAACTGAAACTAAATTAATCTGTGAAAGATTAAGAGCTACGTATTATTATTTTTACTTATTTTCATGATTTTTTTGACGCAGTAAGCTCTATAGCTTATATGTAGCTTACTGTAGGAGGATTCAATAGCCTCAACTTTACAAACTTTCCTTTTTAGTAACCATAATTTGTATAATTCGAATACGTGTATTAATTTATTGAAATATTTATTTTCAGGACAATATTCTTTAGTGGAGCCAGATGGTTCTATACGGACAGTTGACTACACAGCAGATCCCATTCATGGTTTTAATGCGGTTGTGTCGAAAGTTGGACCGAGTGTACACCCTCCACCCAAGCCTCGCCCACACGTTCAGCCGGCTATAATACAATATGTACCAAAACCTATACCAGTGCCTGTACAAATACCGAAGCAATATCTTACTCAGCAGATTTTTGCGTCGCCTGAAACTTACTGTAAGTTTTTGTATGAAGAATTTATATTTCTGATTAACTTTATCATTTAGATTATACAACAAGAAAATTACAGATATATTCGTCAAAATTAAATATTATGACTAATACATATATCTGTGATTTTTTTTAAGAAAATGACGTAAAATTACATACATATTACGTAAGAATAAAGTAAATTGTAAAAAAGCTGAATAAAACTACAAAAAATACAATCTTAAAGTTATGGCCCGGAGTATAGCGTGTGATTAGTATCAGATAACGAGGCATATCCCATTGTTTTCGGTATAATATTCTAACTATTGTCTTTCAGCGTACGCGAAGGTCGCAGCGCCACAGTTTCAAGAGTACGATGGATATGACATCGATGGACCTTCTAACAACTTCTATTAATACAATTAAATAGCGTTTATAAGATATATTATTTCTAAAATAAATCATGAAAACCAAAATTCACTATTACGAGCAGTACCTAATATAAATGTCATGTTTATTTGAGTCATATTATAAAAAGAAACACTAAAATACTTACATTATTAAGACTTGATAATGGCTGTAGGAAGTAGTATCTTAGTATTGGTGAAATAAGGATGCTAAGGTTATCAAAAGGCTTCAATGACTGGTCATTGAAATTTAAAACCTTATTTAATATTTCATAAAAATTTACTTCTCCTTCTTTGGTCTATTCAGTTTATATAAAATTTTGATACAAAGCAAAAATTGCTTTTTGCAACTAAAATGATTGGCTAGTTTAAATATAATACTTTTAAGCACTATATATGCACATATTATTATTTGCATATGTATTATAGGTTAAGAACTGAGTATTTTACTTAATGAAGATGTCGCATAAAGCGCCTGCGAGATTTTTACAAAATACTCTTTTAGGAAATTTACGATATACTCATCAAAAATGGTAGGCGAAATTTTTAAAATTATAATATTAACCAAATCAAAAAAAATTAGTACATGATTTTTTATGATTATATTTAAGACTTTCGTCCGTATTCTTTTAAATAAAATTTATATTTTCGAATGTACGGCGAGTTTTTTATTTCTTTCTTAACTGCCTGATCTCGGTTGCTGCAAACTAACCGAAATGTTGGGAATTTGTAGTTTAAAGTAAAAACAATGCGTAGTACATTCGAAGATAATACTTTTATTTATTTGAATATTTTTTTTTTATTTCTTGTCAAATTTATTACGATTTTTTATTTGAAAGGAAAATAAAAACTTTATTAATTTTGGGTTTATCGATCGTTTACAAACAATCTTTTAAAACTTTTATAAATCATTTTTTAATGTGTCTCTTTTCTTAGAATCCATTAATGTTTGACATGTAAATAAAATATGAAGAATTAAATTCGTTGTTAATATTCGTAAGAATAATTTTCTTATTAAAATAACTGAACAGTTATTTAAATTAAAGTGTATTTATTTTTTACATATTATATTCAGATATAGATTATGGTCAAATTTCAATAATATATTTATATTCAAAACTGAAAAATAAGAATGAATTTTATTTTTGTAAATCATATTTCTCTTTGGAACACAATATATACTCCTTTTAAAATATCTGTCAAATATTTAACTCGTTCAGATGATGCTCAGTCTGTCGCTCACTCAAAGGAATTCGACTTTTAACTGACATCGTGACTTGCGAAACTAACCGGAACGAATTTTATATTCATCTTTATTTTAAAGTGTTGTAGATGATTTCCATTCAACCCAATATTGTGTTTTTTATGTCCAATCTTTAACCCATTCTTTGCTATAAAAATAATTACCTAAATATTTTCTGTTTTATAAATGTTTTTCTTCTCAACTTTAAGAGCTAAAAGTTGTTTCCTGTTGAGGTATAACCTCAGGAAAAGTAAATTCAAATTCACTGTATACAAAAATATTGTAACGGAATAAAGAAAAAATAATTTGAAGTTTTCTGTACATTATATTGAATTTTTTACTTTGCACAAATATTTACTTAAATTTTATTAAGCATAATATAGCCAAAAACTAAGATAGTTTATTGTATTTTATTTCACAAAGTTACTATCTTTTAATTCAACTAGCTTATAACTGCGACTTCGCTCGTGATTTTGTAGTTCACTATTCGGCACTATTCTAAAGGTTTATGTTACAAACATAATTTAATATTACATATATGTTATTACCTCATCAGGTATTTGTGTTTGATTGAGTAATAAACGCCCAGACACACAAACCTTCACTTTTCAAATAAAACAATCATGCTCTAATAAAATATTTGGTGTTCGGTAAACCATAATAATAACATTGCGATCGAGATACCTGTATTTATGTTCGAAATAATAAAGACAGGTTTATAAAAAAATAAAATTGGATTTCTAGTTCGCTCTTACATATATGTAGGTATAATTGATGTACCTAATTAGTGAACTTCGAAGAGAAACAATTTAATTGTGAAAGTTATAAAGGTTAATGCTTGAAAATCAATAAAGCAATTCACGTCCTGTTACACATATAATTATTTTTTTATCAGATGGCATAATGGAAACGAAATAGAAGATACAAAATTAGAAGTTCGTCAAATAGTATTATTAAAAATTTGTTTCATGACTTATATGTAAATATCATATTGTAGAATTGCTGTATCTACTCCGATCAATCCGTTTGGAAATTAGTTACAATTATATTCAGATAATGCAAGTAAAATAATTGGTGTTCATTCCATCTAGCCCATTAAGAACATATTATTAACGTCTATGTTTTAAAATTGAAATTGCGAAAAGTAAAAATCTATTAAGCCATAGAGTAATATTGCATTGTAAATAAAGTAATAACACTTAAAAGCAAGATTGCAAGCAAGCGCCTTCAGGTAGATCCAAATTGTTGCCCAAATCTTCGGGCTACAATTACTGATCACTGCCAATCTTTGTCAGTTATCAATACGTGTTGACAGTCCCTGCTTCATATAATTGCAAATACAATCTTTGGAGATCATAAAATAAAGTGCTCGCAATTAAGTTTCGAAAGAGTTTTGATTCTATTGCTGACTAATTACAACATTGTTGGCGAGAACATGAGTACAACGTCTTATATTACTGATTGAGTGACATTATAAACTATGAGAAATAATGGACCTTTTCGTGGCTGTGACATCGGAAATTTGTCTTGCTTATTTCTAATGAAACAATAGATAATTGATCGGTCACATGTACTATATGCATGGACGGTTACATAATTTCGAATAAAGGTACCTACTTCTTTTCATTTTGTATTCTCTTTATAAACTTTATAGATTTGATGTGTAATCATATATCACCGTTATTATTATTTTAAAAAATATTAAACTTCACATGAAAAAAATTGCGTTTAAAATAAAATAAACTGTTCAATTTTATTAAAATATCATAATATTTTTATTACTATATGCAAAAATAAAATTTATATCTAATTTTATAAACTTTTAAATTTCTTATATAATATATGTAACTTTTTAATATTATATTTGTGTGCATATCACATTATATTATAACGACCAATAGAATTCAAAAATGTGGGACTGTCCCGGGTAATAAGAAGTTTCACAACGATGATTTCTGATCAACATTTTGAGATTAAAATTGTCAAACATTACTAAAGTGTATAAGAGAGCTGTAGAATTTAAAGAAATTGTTTGTGTTTCTGTAAATTTTGTGTTTAAAAGGTTTACCACTGTACTTTCAATTCTCTCCTCCTCCTTTTCCGATTGTACTATATTGAATTATATTTAATTAAACAGTTTCATTTAAACGTGTTACCTAAAAATAGTTATAAAAAAGGCTTCGAAAATATGAACATTAGCAGTCCCCGACCTGGCTCAAGTATATTGAATTCGAAAAAGCTTCTATAAGAAGCGATTCTATTGATGAATTCCGAAAACATCGGGTGGTGAAGCATTATATACCATTAATTATCTACAAACTTCACCAGATATGAATTCTATATAAACTTCGATGGGACAAAAAACAAGAATATTTCATAACTGCAAAATATATAAAAAACTAGTTGTTGGATCGGATTGATAAGGTGGCGCCATTTATATAAATCATAACTTCGTTTTACGTCTACAATTTCCAGGCACAGCAGCTATCGTGTAATAATTTTTATGAGATCTTTGAGCAATATATCTAGAATCTAACTTCTAGAGGAGCAGGATTATGTAATATGATTTTAATATACTATAAATAACCTAGCCATACAGTTTATTCAATTCGCTTGCAAAACTTCTGAGTGATCTCATTAGTAAATTATGATTGAAATGAGATGTTTTTAGAAATTTTGAGTTATTAATTCTCAATCCCTAAACATCCAATCTTATGATATGTGGGTTATGCCAGTAATTATAAACGGAATCAAAATACGATGGTCGTGCTGTAGAAAAGTGTCAAACTTTAAGAACAGCTGCCATCAATAAAGAAAAACCTAAAATAAAAAAATGTGCTTCAAACATCTCTAAGAGTGAAGCGACAGAGTTATATCAGATATACTATAGTAGGATAAAATAAAATTTTGTTTCAATGTACTAAGTTCAGCTGACATCAATTAGATTAATTGTTTAGTCTATCAACGAATCTAATGTTTTCTGCGACAAATAGGGTTTAGGTGGATTGATTTCTGATTTATGAAATTCGGATGAAGAAAATCTTTTATGTTATCCAAAGTAAATTATATTTGGACAGTTTAATATTATTATTTACAAGGTTTTTGTTAATACAATTTGCGCCCTAAAAATAGAAGTTATGTTAATCCAAAACAGTTACTTTTATTATATCATGCAGTATAGTTAATAAAGATATTGTAAAGTAAGATATTGTAAGTCAAACAAATACTTAAAAAACTAAACAAATACTAAAAACTTTAAATAACTAAATGAATTTTACTATATTTTTAATAACAGGAAGACATTTTAATACAAAAACATGAATTAATTTAGTCAAAAAGTTCAGTTCGAAATTAAAGAACAGTGATTGAGAAATCACTACCAACATCAAATTCTACGATAAATATGTACGTATAATTATTGTGCCTTTTAAATAATATATTTCTTACTAACAATATTTTTCCAGTCTTTTGTTGCATAATCTTAAACAATAAAAGAAAAACATTTTTTCCATTTTAAATTGCATTTTTTAACATTGCATTGAATGCATTAGATTTAAATAAATGCAGAATGGATATGTGATGCCGGTAATATGTAACGATGTATCAATGTCCTTCTGCTGGAAAAAAATATTTTTTGAAAGGCGTCCCAACATCGTTGCTTTGTCTGTCATGATCTTTAAATAACACAAGTTAACATTGGTCCAGTATGAAAACGCCCTTGACTTTTAAACGTAACGCTTCCGACGCGACAAAGAGAGCAGATATTT